CTTATTCTTTAAATAACTCCCAGGCATATGAAATCTTACCCCCCCCCCCCGCCCCCCCACTGCAAGGGTTAAGTGTGGGCACCCCCGCCCCACACTGTTAGGGTTAAGTGCACATTTTGGGGAGCTAAAATAACAAGATATACTCACCGGAAACTCAAGCTTGCCTGGCTGCTAGACAGTACCCCGCAGCCTCAGGGATTCCTCACCTCATTGCAATGATTCAAATATGACAAACTGCAGAACTTTTTCAGTTGGTAAGATGATCCGAAATCATTTTTCAGCCTGTGATACTTTAATAAGAGCTGGAAAATGTGTGTTAATGGACCCTGAGGTCTGGTTAGGTAAACACTGTACTAATACAGACTAATGTATGTAACTGATATTCACAATAACTGAAACTTTTTTGTTAATGTTTTTCAGTGGATGAATATATCTCAGTTGCAAAAGAGAAGCATGGATATAACATGGAGCAGGTATTGGCGTTCTCTCCTTTTTTGGGTTAAGATTGCAGAGTAAAAATGTTGGAAACTCTTTCAAAATGAACCTGTAACTTGTATTAAAAGAATCCAGGCAGACCAACTTTGTAGAGTATGCAGCTGAGCTCTCTGCTGACTGAGAAGTGAAATCTAGGAGCACCGGTGCTATCCGGCACTTCCGAGCGTGACGGATCGCGTGTTCCCCAATAGGCGCTGTGATTCCCTACTGCCAGCAGCTACTGTGGGATGTATGAATGCATTAAATAGTTCAAATTCAATGAATACCAATAACACGGTACAAAGGTGTATATGGAAAACTGTCCATGGTATAGAAAAAAAAAGTTTTGGGACCGATGAATCAAAAGTTAAAATGAATTTGCTGTTTAGTATGCGAACATATGGTTCATCAGTGTGACCCCCATCTGTCAAACATGGAGGAGGATGACGCATGATGGTCTGGGGCTCCCTTGTTGGAATCCGAGTCTGCAACTTGCGCCGAGTACCTGAACCTATAGACCTATCATAGCAGTTTGCAGCACCAGACAATACCCTCTGGTCTGCACATAGTTGGTTAGGGGTTTATCGTACATTAGGATAAGGACCCAAGGTATACCCCTTGGCTATATCAGAACTACCTTTTAAAGAAAAGAACAAGATAGTAGGCTTCAGGTTATGGAATGACCACTATAGTCTCTCCCAGACTTGTAACTGCACCATTATACAAGAAGCTTCCTGTCTATTAAATGAGAACTCTTAGAATATTATTATTATACAGGATTTATATAGCACCAACAGTTTTATACTCTTCCCAATAGTTTGAGCCAGCATGTGACACTGCAGCTGTCACACTCTGTCTCTATTGCTTCAGGGCTGAGCAGTCACAAACTGCTGATCGCTCGGCTCATGGCTTCTCCCTGGAGAGAGCAGTGACAGTCGGTGAACGCTCCCCGCAGGGATTCCCTTCTTTTCTCTCTGTTCCTCCAGCGCTCATTGGAGGGATAGACAGGGGTAGAGGCTGGCTCCCTTGCAGCCTGCTTCCTTCGTGGTGGCCCGGCGGAGCTGTGACGGCACTCCCCTGGTGGCAGTGTTTGGGCCTAGTGATTGGCTGCTGGGCCGCATCACCATGGTAGCTTGTCGCATGTTTCTCTATACCCAGAAGTGCCAGGTATTATTGCCGGCTGCATGATGGGAGCACAGGTAAGTATAAAGTGGCTGGAGAGGGAGGACCCTTCCGGAGACGCTTACCTTTTCCTGAATCAACAAGGTGACTTTCTTTTAAACTGCACACATTTCAAGAACTGAAATAAATTGGGATGTTCTAGCTGGTTTAATCAGTAACATGTATGTATATAGCTTTAGTATTTTGTAGGGATACCAAGTGCCGTACTCAGTACATGCACCGATACTTTTGAGCTCCAAGACTAGACTAGAGAAAAATTCAAAAATTAGGAGGCCGCTGTCATTTGTAAGGAGCACACGGAGCTCCTAGGATTTGTATAGCTCTGTTTTTTATTGTATGATTTTGTTTTTATAAACATATATAAGGGATGCACCGATACCAGTTTTGCAAGTACTGATACATTTTTGTTGTCATGTGACAATTTTTCTAAAACAATACAGACTAATGATTTCAGGACAGTGGTGGAGCGTCAGAGCCAGGCCCCAGCTGCAACCCTGGTAGTTCTCATGAAAATGCCAAGTATCTGCACTGGTATCTGAACAGGTATCGGTGCATCCCTAGTATTTTGCATACTTATTTCATAAGGTGGTGATTTATCAGATAATAGTGTATAAATAAAAAGCTGCCATTCCTTGAACGTGTAATCTACTGTGTAAGGCAGGCGTGAGCTTTTATTGTATTTCTCGTGTTGTTCCCGTTCCTGTGCATGTAAACATTGGCTGCTTTTTCTGTGAAGCCTTTCAAACTTCTGCTCCAGCTTACACTATTACATGCTTTCCCTTGCAGGCACTTGGCATGCTTTTTTGGCACAAACATAACATAGAAAAATCGCTGGCAGACTTGCCCAACTTCACCCCATTTCCCGATGAATGGACCGTGGAGGACAAAGTCTTGTTTGAACAAGCTTTTGGCTTTCATGGAAAAACCTTTCATAGGATCCAGCAGATGGTAAGTACTGCACACTACTGTAAATAATAAAGGGCACGTGCACCCCATTACAGATCCGAGCTGGCAACTGTTTCACAAGATTATCTGTAGTCACCTGGCAATGTCTGCTTTTTCTTTTCTCCTGTGTATGTCTGTAAAGTCTTTTGCAAGACTGTAATAGGATGGAGACTCTTAATTTCATTGGAAATTCCCTGCTTGCTTGTTCTCTTTAAGTGTCGGACTCGTAACAGCGAGTGGCCCATTTACTAGTGCAGCTCACACTTCCTGCTGCTACCTATTGCAGTGATATCTGTTGCTGTGATTTGCTGTAACGTCCACATTTTAATTTGACATGTTTTAATTAAATTAGGAAACCGAGAACCTGTCAGATGTTCATCTTTACGTGTATAGCCAGCTTTGGATTCGCTCCCCTTTCTCGCTTGTCACTATGGATGCACCAATACTGGTTTCGGTGCCGATAACGAGTATTTTGGCGAGTACTTGTACTCGCCTAAATGTTTCGATACCGGAACTTTCGGTCAGAGGAAGGGGAACATGGAGCCAGTGCAATCAGGAAGCTGGGTGGCGAGTAGTGACCCGCCTCCCGGCTTCCTGATTGGCCGGGAAGCCAGCTCCACGATTCCGGTTTCCCGGCCGAGCACAATCAAGCCGGCCAGACATGGAACTGGCTTCTCGGGCATTCAGGTAAGCCGGCTCCATGCCAGCGGAAGCACCGGTATCGGTACTCCGTATAGAAAGCAAAGTATCAGTACTCACGCTCGATATCGAAAAACCGTTATCGGTGCATCCATACTTGTCACCATTGATGGCCTAGTCCTTTCACATGGGGAGCAGGGAAACGAGCCACAACACTTGACAGCTTTTGTGATTGGCCCAGCCATTGCACATCTTCAATTAGTGATTTGGAGCTTACGTAGGGTTTCCTTCCCTATGTGCCCAATGGCTGAATGGTGCAGCAGCGAAGTGAAAGGATGGAAACTTTGTGAGGAACAAAGCTGAATCTGTTACATTGCATGCTTTCGCAAAGCACATGTTCACTTTTTTTATTGAACTGGGGTGCAATTGGTATTGTTAGTGGGTTGGTCAGTCTAATTATGGTAAAATTGTATTTGTTGTTGAAATTTTGTTATTTTAATTATTTAAAATAGCCAAAATGTTGAGAAATTGACTCTAAGTGGAGCTTCACCTTGCAGTGGGTAGATACTAGGGATGCACAGATACCCGTATCGCCAATACCGAGTACCAAAAGTCCCATTCAGGAACCAGGCGGCGTGTAATGACTGGCTTCCCGAGTAGCAGGGAAGCCGTCCCCATGCTTCTCGTCACTAAGTAATGAGAAAGCATGGAGCCGGCTTTCTGGCCAATCAGTAAACCGGGCGCTGTGGAATGATGTGGCGCCTGGCTTCCTGATTGGCCAGCTTCCGACCAATCTGGAAGCCGGGCAGCTCTTGTCACAAGTGACGAGAGAGCATGAAGCCGGCTTCCCGACCAATCAGAAAGCAGAGTGCCGCATCATTACACGGCGCCTGGCTTCCTGATTGGCCAGCTTCCGACCAATCTGGAAGCCGGGCAGCTCTTGTCACAAGTGACGAGAGAGCATGAAGCCGGCTTCCCGACCAATCAGGAAGCCGGCAGCGTGTAATGACGCGCTGCCCGGCTTCCTGATACCGGAAGTATCGGGCTAGGATTCATTGCATTTGGGTGAGTATTCGCCCAAATACTCTGCGTCGGCACCGGTACTAGTATCAGTATTGGTGCATCCCTAGTAGATACCCGACTGACTGATTTGTACTGGCTTGTTAGGCACAGTAGATGTATGGTGTTCCCCCGCTTGAAGTCCTCTAAATTATTCTGCTCTCGCTGCAACTAAATCTTTTCCTGCTTCTTTGTAGCTTCCTGATAAATCTATTGCCAGCCTAGTAAAATTTTACTATTCCTGGAAAAAGAGTCGCTCTAAGACCAGCGTGATGGATCGTCATGCTCGCAAGCAGAAGCGTGAACGGGAAGGAAGGTTAGTTTTTTTCCTCTCTCCTGGTTGTTCTGTGTACACTCTGTTCTCGGAACTTTTTTGCAGGTTAGAAATGTCCTTTTTGTTGATCACTGCAGGAGAGGAAAGAAAATGGTCTGTGAATCACTGGAGAAAATATCCATAGCAACCTAATGTTCTGGCAACTACCAGCATTATCTGTCGAGCTGGTGGCTCTGTCAATTACACGCTGCATTGACTCAGTGTTGTCTGATGCTGGCACGCGTAAGCGCTGCTTGTCTTTCAGAAGTAGAAAGCAGTCCGAGTATCTGTTGTTATGACGGAATAAATGTCAGTCAAAGTACCGCAGCGCTGAATACTGAAAAATGGCCTGGATGGGAAGGGGGTTTAACACCGCGGATGTCAACTGGTTAAAAGTAGAGCTTGTTGAAGAAATATAAAATGTGTCTTAGAATAGCAGATGCCAGCAGGTGCTTGTAAAAAGGCAGACGTCTTGTAGGGAGCCCTGAAATGCGGGAGGCTATATAAATAAAAGCCACCCCCAGGCTCAGGCCTGTCCCCCCCCCCAATGCCTGTTAGTCCATTACTGTGATGGGTGGCCTTTCTAACCAGTGGCTTGACACCTCGAAACCATACTAGTTCAAAAGTCACCTTGTCCTGGTGAAGGAACCCTGTGTGGCATTCATTTGTGCCTTTCATTATAGGGAAATAAAGAAACATGAACAGGTATGCTGGGGACATATTTTTTTTTACTTGTCACCATTCAGCGGTTGCTACTGCACCCTATGCAGATTGAATTGCCAGTATGGTTAGCAATGAAGATATACATCCGTGATGTTTTAGGGACAAGCACATCATTGTGTGTGATGCTTCACAAGTCTCAGCAAATGAATGAGCGCAAACCTTGATGGGCTTATGTAAAGGGATCTGCCTCTGGTATGGGAAGCTTCTGATGGAAGCTGCCATCCTCCAATGCCACATAACAGTTCAAGGGCAGTTAATTGAACTTTTTCAGCGTCGGTAGAAGTGATGTCACTTTCTTAGTACAAGTATTTCCTAGGAATACAAGAATGAGCTTCCATGTGAGGTGACTGACAGGTATTTTATACTGTAGATTGGTTAGGAGGCTGATCCGGAAGTGCCATAACACCCTGCACCCAGTCATTTCTTTATCGCTTGAGTGGTTAGACAACTTGGGCTCTGCTTGGGTAAATTAGGGCCCGTCTGGTCAATACACAGCAAATATCTTGCTATTCATCTCCTTTCCACCTTCTCATGGTGAAGAAAAAAAAAATGTGTCCTCCTTTGCTGCTTTTTTTTTGTTTTAGCGGAGATGAGACGGAGGAACCAATCAGCAGCAGCAACAACCCGACGGATATGGAGGTCGACCCACAAAAGGAACCCAAGAAAGAAGTAATTGTACGTATGCATCATTTCTCTATTATTATTTTCTTTGTTCTGCGGCAGCATTGCAATTTTCCATAGTTCTGCTTCTCGGGAAATATCAGAATCGGTTGCCGTCCTTTGGCATTGTGGAACGTTAGTCTGTTAACAGAAGGTGTCCTGGGAAGTTCAGTAAAATACTGGCAGCCTCTTGCATCCTTGGGGACCTCTTCAGCCACCGGATCTTCATCTTCCTACACAAATTTGATGCTTTTTACAGAGCCGGTCTTTAAAAGTTTTTGTGAACACACAGCTACTAAAAGACATTCTAATGCAGACATTTTTTTTTACTACCGTTTTCAATATCTCGTATTCTGTGGTCACGTGATCACTCAGCCTCTGTTGGACATGGTATGTTTACTATAACCACAATCATGAATGAACAGGAGGTGATGTAGATCACTTCCCATTCATTCATAATTGAGGATATAGTACACATACCATGTCCTCAATTATATACAAACACTCAGCAATCACTGATAGCTGAGTGTTTGTACCTTGCTCTCCTCTCTGACACGCTGTCACAGGAGGCTGAGCGAGCGGCGTAGGGAGGAGAGCCCAGCCTCCTGTGAAAGCGCGGCCTGTCTCCGCCCACACACCACTGTGATAGGAGGCTGAGCGGTGTGGGAGGAGACGCCAGCCGCTCACAGCGCGCTCCTCCGGCTATCAGAGTTTCTCTGCTCCCCGCTGGGACATAGACCAGCGGGGAGGAAAGAAAGCAGGGATGCGCCGACGTATCGGCAGGAAAATAGCACTTTCGGCATTATGCCAAAAGTGCCATTTTCGGCCGATATGTTTCGGCGGCCGATATATTGGTGCATTCCTAGTATTGACAATAAGACTCCTGCTTATTGAGGGGTCCTGGCAACTAAACTGGAGATGCAAACATGTCTTGCATCTGCATGGCATCCTTCATCTTCTAGCAGCAATCCCAGAAATGCAAACTGACCACTCCAGTGCTGATCTGCGTTTGGCGTGGTCAGTTTGATACAGGAAGCCAGGGAAACAGGATCACCAGGTATTTATCATCACCAAACGAAATCAAATCATTAGGGCTAGTTCACACCAAGTGCAGAGCAGTTACAGAATGCTTCCAATCTATTCGTGGTATTTTGGGCTCTAGTTCATACCACAGTTCCAGAGCATGTGGAAAAACTGCAGCATGCCCTATTTTTTCTGCTCTGGAACGCACCAAAACGCACACGAGAGCCCTGGAACGCACTAAAAGCCCATTTTAAGCTTTTAAAAAAAGTACCAGAATGCGTCAAAAACGTGGCGAAACACACTGCACTTCACATGCAGAAACTCATGCAGATCTGGTCCGGATTTGGTGTGAACAAGTCCTTACATTTACAAACATTTTGGGGTAATTCTGATCACTAGAAATGGCAGAACTCTTATTATTTTACATGACACCAATCAACGTCTTGTGTTGCAGTTGGCCTTTTGTGAGCGAACGATGAATGTTTTACCTATGACTCTTCTGCACATATTCGGCATTCACAATAATTTGGTGTCTCTTCTGCTAGCAGAGGAGTTTAGAGTCAAAGAATCTGCTTGAATAACAGAAAATTATCTTCAACATTACAGAACAAGTCCGCTTGAATGTGACTACTATCTATGCCATGAGATAGAAGTATATTCGCCTTTTAAGCTGAACTATATTAACCCTTTATAGCTGAAGTGCCTTTTAAACTTGGCGATTTGTAGCCATTTTCCAATCGTCTGTTCTCTGCTTGCACAGTCTCCTAAGAATGACACAGTCCCGCATGTGAAGAAGGAGAAACACCCATCTCAAGCTAAAAACAGAGCCAAACGGAAGCCTCCGAAGGGGATGTTCCTGTCACAGGAAGATGTAGGAGCCATCTCTGCCAACGCCAATGCTGCTACCACTATGCTGAAACAGCTGGATATGGAACTGGTCTCCATTAAGAGACAGGCAAGTGCCACCTCATCTCCTGCTGACCAGGTGAAAGGCCAGCATCCTTATGTGTACTCTTCTTCCTTATTCATTCTGTCAGAGGCGGTCTTTGTGGCACGACTCCTGTAATCAGATTAGTAGAACACATTCTATTCCACCTTTTGATGTTCGCTTGTTAAATATATGTAGAGCTTTGTAGTTACCAGTATGCCCCCATTCAATCATTATTGGCAATGACTGGAGTTGCTGCAATGGTCACCTTTTAGGTGCTCCTAGAATGACTGTCTAGATAAATACTGAATTTTAGTTTTGTGGATAGTTGACATGCCAATCAGCAGCTCTTTAAAGGAGAACTATGAGGTGAGTGAAAATCACTCATCCTCATAGTTCGAGCCGACATGTGACAATGAAACTGTCACAAGTCGGCTCAATAGATTGGGAAGTGAGGGAACACATAACGTCGCTCGCTCACTTCTCGATCATGTCCCTGCAGAGAGTCGTGACTGTCACTCACAGCTCCCTGGAGGGATCCTCCCCCACTCCGATCCCCCTCACTCCGATCCTCCCCACTCCGATCCTCCCCACTCCGATCCTCCCCACTCCGATCCTCCCCACTCCGATCCTCCCCACTCCGATCCTCCCCACTCCGATCCTCCCGCGCTGACTGGAGAAATGGGAGGGGGCTGGTACAGCTGACTCTGCCTCTAGATAGGCAGAGCCAGCTGTCAATCACGCAGCTGATTGGATCTCGACAGTAATGTCGGGATCCGTACGGGCTGCGGCGGTCTCGGTACACCGCGAGCTGTAACTCGCAGTATACTGAGCTTTGGGTCACAGGAGGACGCAAGTTCGTGTCCTCCCGTGACCCTGGGGAGAACTATGGGGCAAAGCACTGACCCCATAGTTCTGCTTTAAAACTAGAAGCGATTGATTGTGGGACTAATTTGCATAAAGGTGGAATAGTTTTCTATAGGTTCCAATTAAGGGTCATATTTAACCTGATTGCTATAGGTAGCTGCTGCAGCGTCTGTACATCAGACTGCAACGGGAAGGCTCTCATAGCACCATGGGAAATTAATTTGTTTTTTGCTTCATGTGTAAAATTTCAGACACAGCTGATACGTTTTTTGGGATGGGTTAGAAAGCCACGCACAGTACCAACATTTTTTTTACCTTACATTAAAGTTTGTGGGGTTTTTAAATTAGGTCCCGGTTAACCTAGCGCTTTATTAGTTTAGGTAAATATGTGAAGCATAGAAACAGTGCAATGAACTAAGAGCATGTTACGTTTTCTGCTCCTGAAGTTGTGCAATTTTCTTTATCCGGTCTAAATATATTCTTGTCTCTTCAGATTCAAAATATCAAACAGACAAACAGTGCACTCAAGGAGAAGCTACAGGGAGGAGTTGAGGAGTACAGAGTCGCTGAGGTAGGTGCAATTCTAGGTTTAAATTTATAGAGAAGTAAAGTGTATGTGTAGATGGTAGGGATGCACCGGTTTTTCGGTATCGAATACGGGTACCAATATCTTTTTTTTTTTTTTCGGTGCTCGTTGATACCGATACCGGAAGTCCTATTAAGGAAGCTGGGGGGCTTGTAAAGACTCGCCACCCGGCTTCCCGATTAACAGGGAAGCCGTTTCCATGCTTCTCATCACTAGATGATGACACGGATGACTAGAAAGCATGGGCTGGCTTCCTGACCAATCAGGAAGTCTGGCAGTGAGTCATTGCACGCTGCCCGGCTTCCTGATTGGCCGGGAAGCCAGCTTCATGCTCCCTCGTCACAAGTGAGCCGTGTAATGACTCGCTGCCCGACTTCCTGATACCGGAAGCTTATGTATCGGGCTAGGTATCGGTACATTTGGGAGAGTACGAGTATTCGCCCAAATACTCGGCATCGGCACAGATACTCATATCGGAATCAGTGCATCCCTAGTAGATGAATATAAGCATCCTACTTTTTATGCCGTAAAAATATAGATCTAATTTTTTTAGATCATTTGGTTATTTAAAGCCACCCAAGCTTTGTAATGTGATATTTGAAGGTTGAAAGAAGCAAAACTGCAGTTTGCCTTCATTTTATTTTTATGTAGTTTTCACTTGCTTTTCTTTTTCTTTTTTTTTTTTTTTAGGTTCCACAGAAATTTAATGCTCGCTGGACAACAGAGGAACAGCTTCTTGCTGTTCAAGGTATAACAAATATAATTCCTCCGCGAAAACTGCTCCCTTATATGTATTTCATCTGTGCATTTAACGGTTTGCCTGGAGTTTAGTTTTAACATGGAAATCAGATGGATGATCATTTTGGGGGGTTGTTTGCCTTTACAAGCGAGTCCCTTCAACTTTACATATTCATCATATGTTGGTAAGAAGTTTGAGGTGTCCAAACTATTTTATGTTAACTGTTTACATTGTCTTGCCCTGCAGCGATCCGAAAATATGGCCGGGATTTCCAAGCAATTTCGGACGTCATAGGGAACAAATCGGTTGTCCAAGTGAAGAATTTTTTTGTCAATTACCGAAGACGCTTTAATATTGATCAGGTTTTACAGGAATGGGAGGCGGAGCACGGAAAGCCGGAGGAGAACGGTGACTGCCTCGAGAAGCCTATAAAATTACCTGACACTGCTATAAAGATGTCCGATGAAGAGGACGAGGTAACACTAGTTGTAGATTGTTGTCTTATTCTTAAAATAAAAGTGGTGAGAAAATGCATCAAAAGAAGCTTAGTGTCAGTAAACATTTGTACTCAATGTTTCTTTCATTAATATAGTTGAAACACCTGGCTGATCCTCTCATTTCCCTCTACTTCCTTATTTAAAGTGGCAATGATACTCCAGCTAATTGGTTCTCAATTGGTGGGTTGCGACCCCATGTTCAGTGGCCTTCCACTTTTGTAGGTGAGAGGCTTCTCAGCCTCCCCCTAGTGCAGCACCGTCAGTTCTCACACCAAGCAGCCATTCTAAATATGCTTCCCGGAGCCGAGTGTCAGCTTAAGGTGGGGTGGGATGGGTCTATGTGGGAGCTCCATCCATGTGCATTGCTTACAGCTCCCTCACATGTCCTGTAGAGGTGCCTGGACCATTACATAATTTTTGCCAAAGTGGACCAGGTAGTAGATGAACTCTATTTGTAAGTAAATTAAAATTATGTTTAGCTAATGTAAGATGATTGGATATCCGCAGAGCTGCACGCTGGTGGGATTTTTAGTGAAATAGCTTTAACCATCATCAGTCCCTCTCATCCTGATCTATACTGTTGTTTCCCATCTGTCACAGCTTTTTCTGCCAGCACTTATTTTGTTCCCAAGCTTTTTATGAAAGAACACATCCCTGGCATCCCTTTTTAGCTGTGGATGCTCAAGCAACTGATTAGCACAATGATGAATTCTGCAGCTCCAAGTGGCCAGCCAGAAGGAGCATGCATGTTTAAAGGGATGCTAAGATGTCTTCTATCATACAATGCTTTTGAAGAACATTCAAGGCAGCAACTAGGCAGCCATCTAGGGCGCAGCCTTGATCACTCGCCCCCCCATTGGCACCGCTTCTCTAGTAGCGGGTCTTGCCTAGGGCGCTAAATAGTGTAGCACCGGCCCTGCAGCTATGGGACAATGCTTAGACATTCACCAGGCTTAAACACTGTTACATGGGGATAGGCAGTAACGCCAACACCAAAGCAGGTGGCAAGAGAGCACGCATCAGTGCGAATACCTTACCTGGAGGTGAGCGGTGATCACTGTCACTGCCTATTCAGTGCTCATTCAAGGTATACACTGCAGTAAAATCTCCAGATGTCGAAGACGCATTATGATTTCCCTTCATTTGTACTTTTCTTTTTCCAGCAGGGCTCTCCTCTTGATGTCAGATTTTCTTCATGAGAAAACAAGAACTGCTTAGTCTTGACTACTTAATTTGCCCAGAACTTCAGGTATTACGAGGACTTCAACCAGCTATGCTCATCATGCGTTGTGGACAAGCAGCTATTTACCAAAAAGGCAAACAACTTCCGGCCCTTTTAACATATCTGCCTTAATCACCTCCAGTTCCCCCTCACAGACGGCTTTCTGCTGTCATCACCGAGGATAAAACAGAGTCATCGGCATCTTGTATCGGGACAATCTCCCCCATCACCTTGTAAATATTCACCCTGATGATGAAACGTTGCGGCTGTCATGTTCCGCATGAAACTTTAGTTTCTTTCTGTTGGATTTTTTTGGATGATGTATAAATTAGTTCTGCATTAATCAGAAGAACGCTCGTACACAGGAATTCCTGTAACCCCTTCATCATGCCACGTCTCCTAATCGCAGTGGATGCTTGTCTGCAAGAAAATCTTTTATTGTGGGTTTTTTTTTTCTTCGAGTATAGAATATTCTGCTAGGTTTTTATCTCCTCTTAGAGCGTGTTTTTTAAGTTTTTCCATTATTTAAATAAGACTTTTTTCTATATTTTGCTTCGCTGCTGAACTCCGTGATTTAAAAAAAGCAAGCAACTCTTGCAGTTGGGATTCCCTGCACCGTGAGGGTTCACTGCTCATTAAGGGGTAAAGGAAGAAGCTGTAATACCTTATTTCTCTTTCCAGCAGGCTTCCGGCGCTTTTCTTCTCCCAGATGCTCCAGTTTGCCGGTGGACTCTTACTATCGGCGCGTTAAATGCAGGACTGTAGGTCCTGCGCTGTATGTGATAATGTCAGAGTGCAACCACCTGCCGGAGTGGGGCAGAGAAGTTGCTTTGGGGGACCAGTCACGCAGCATAGAGGAAGCCTGCCAGAAGGATACATGGAGTATTACAGCTTTCAAGCATTTAAACGTTGCATTGCTGGGAGGTGCCATTGCAAGGCTTATTTTTTTCTGCTCACACTGGGGCTCTAACTTTTTGCTATTTCTGTGACTTTCTGCCATTCCGTTCTCTTCTCTGAGATGCGGATGTGTTTGCTCCCTTTAGATAGGACAGCATGCTGCTTTAGGGTAGGCTTCGGTGACCTGAGGAAGGCAGAACTGAGCTGTGTCCCGGGGCAACAGAATTCCAGGTACAGAGGCGGAAAGAGCTGAAAGAAACGATTTTGGTAAAAGCGAACAGTTCTCGTACAAAGTTATTGTAGGTTGGACCTCCTTATTGTGTCCTCTTGGCAAACATCCTGTTGCTGCTCTAAAAAATTGAGGCAACAGTACCCTGTAATAGTGAGCCGAGTACTTCTCTCTCTGGCAGCTGCAGGTCCATGTTTCTACAGCCTCTTCACTGTAACAGAGCTAGCAGCACTGCTGTTATCTGACATTCCAGGTGGGCAAGAGATCCTGTGGTTTCTCCTGCTAATCCCTATTTCTTTACAGGACTCAGCGGCTGGTGGAAGGAACCATGGTATTAGACGGGGGACATGCTATCTGACACACCAGGAAGTGTTGGATGCCATTGGTGCTACTAGCCATGCAAAGAATCATTGAATTGACTCTTCTGGGTGGACACTGGATGCTGTGGTTTCTCTTGCCAACCCCTATGTCTCTGCAGGATTCACTTCCTGCTGGAAGGAACCATGGCACCCAATAGGGGACATGCTATCCGACAACCCAGGAAGCGTTGTATTCCAGCCCTGCAAAGGATAAATGAACGGACTCTTCTGGGTGGCACTGTTTGGCAGAAGAAACCACAGCATCCAGTGTCCACCCAGAGGAGTCAATTCATTGATCCTTTGCAGGGCTGGAATCCAACACTTGCAGTTGTCAGATGGCACACCCCCATTGGGTGTCATGGTTCCTTCCACCAGCAACTGAGTCCTGTAGGGACATGGTGGTTGGCAGGGGTAACCACAGCATCCTATGTCTCTACCGGACTCAATTGCTGGTGGAAGGAACCATGGCACCCAATGGGGGGACATGCTGCCCGACACACCTGGAAATGTAGGATAGCAGCGGTGCTAATAACTCTGAAAGAGAAGAAAGAATGGACCCGCAGGCTGTAAAAGAGATAAAGTAGTAATCCCCTTTAGCAAAGTGCTTTATTGCCAGTTGTCAGCAATGCAGCATCTACCATTGTTTCCTATGTAAAAATCTACATGGCTTTCTAACTTTGTACATAGACCGACTCTCTGGAGTACAAACTCCCTTTTCAAAAAGATACATTTGTGGGGAAAAAGGTTATTTTGCTTACTAGAAGTTTATAATTTATTTCCATTGCAGATCATGCTTTTTATTTAATCAATGTTCCTGTTTGTTTTTATTTGTATGCATGCTTTTTCATACGTGCCTTTCCATTTTATAACTGGCTGAAGAACTGTCACGCTCATTTTATGAAAGTTCTGTGTTGTGTAGGTTTCTTTTTCCTGAAAAAATATATATTCATGCATTTTCTTGTTTATATTGTCTGTTTAGGCATTTTTAAATTGATATTTATTTGACATTGATTGTTTGAAACCCTGGAGGAAATGGTGATTGGAACAGCAACCCGTAGGTTAAATATGTGGGACCCATCAGCTGGTTGGAATCTGGGTGTAAAGAACAAAGTTTTTTGCTTTGCCATTAAGGTGCACAATCACACTGAAAAATTAGAGTTGGAATCTGAATCGGTTTGTTGTGGTGCATCGTAGATATTTTGTGTTTATTTTATAGACTGTCCACTGCCTGGTAAATGAAGCAGTCCGCTACTTCCCAGCAATTTAGGATTTACAATATTAAAGTGACTTTGTCTCCAGAATAAAATTTAAATAAAAAAAGCACCCTGCAAAAGATAGTTAAAGGAGAACTATGAGGTGAGTGAATTACACTCCTCCCCATAGTTAGAGCCGACGTGTGACAATGAAGTTGCCACAGGTCGGCTCTATTGATCGGAAGGTCAGCGAACACATACCACCGATCACTCATGTCCAGATCTTCTCCCTGCAGGATCACTCATGTCCAGATCTTCTCCCTGCAGGATCACTCATGTCCAGATCTTCTCCCTGCAGGATCACTCATGTCCAGATCTTCTCCCTGCAGGATCACTCATTTCCAGATCTTCTCCCTGCAGGATTACACATTTCCCGATCATCTCCCTGCAGGATTACACATTTCCCGATCATCTCCCTGCAGTGAGTGGTGACTGTCGGTCACTGCTCCCCGCAGGGATTTCCTCTCCCCGATCCTCCTGCACTGAGTGGAGAAACAGATGGGAGAGGGGGCGGGCACAGCTGGCTCTGCCTCTAGATATCAGTCAGCCAGTGGGGTGGATCTCAACAGTATTGTTGGGATCTGTCCCGGCTGTGGCGCTCTCGGCATATAGCAGGCAATAGTCCGCTATATACTGAGTTTAAAAAGGTTACCCCATAGTTCTCTCTTAATATCAGTCTGGTGAGCAGTGTCAGCAATTTTTGCAAAATCTCACAAAGCCAACCTGGCCAAAGAGTCTTCAGCATCTGATGTGTTGGATGCTTGCACCCCTTGCTGTGAACTGTGGTTCCACCCACCGGATACTAGGTCACTTAAGGACATAGTTATGACTATAATTGGGTAGAATCATGGCGTGCAGTGGAAGACGCAGGCCTTCAGCACTCTCGGAAGTGTCAGATGCTGGGGTTGATGATCAGAGTCGCTGTCTTCCAGATTGGTATTATTCTTTTTGTAGGGTGCTCGTATTTTCTTTTTTCTTTTTCCCCTGGTGACGGTCACTCGTAATCTCCAATCTAAGCATTGGTAGGGCATAACTGGAGATTCGGTTGCTTTGATGGTGCTCATGGCCGATTCAGGCAATGCATCAGCAGGGGAAGTGTCTCTGAAGTGAAGCACATTTAATGAATCATCGGCAATCGGGACTTGAGGATTGTGTGATGCTCCACTTCAGCTGACTTCTCTCCTTCTAGACAATGGCAGCCTTGCTGGAACAATATATCAGATTGACGCTATTCTCTGGATTGCTGTAAGGACGCAGATCTATGCAGGAGACATTTAATTTCTCAGTAGCATGGGACAAAACCCCTCCTTCATAGTGTCTTCATTTGCAATAAACTGTAATATATTGCGAGTGAGCAAGTTGTGGCTAAGTGGTTAAAGGTAAACTCCTATGTAATAAAGTCTTGCATGTAGCGGAGTGCTCAGGCTGATGTCACTCGGGGGTTGTGATGTTGCGGGTTTCTTTTTAATTAAAACATTTCTGTCTCTTTTTTTTCCCCCTCTTCTCCTCTGCTGAAGCTGATTTATATTTATTTTTTCCTTCAGTATAGGTATGAATAGGGATAACGCTGCCTTTGTCATTCATGTCTTTTTCCCTCTTCTTCCCTGTGCCTGAAAATGTTCTAAGCCAAACGGTGCTGTATACATTGCCACGTCAGTCAGGCCTGGCTTTGCATCATTGCGTCTTGCAACACCAGGACAAGAAAATGAAAGTTTTATCGGGACAAGAAGACGCAGGGCAGTAAATGCATGACAGGTTTTGTAACTTCTCCCCACTCCACTGAGCGAATGAGCTTCTGTTGATGGATATGCCTCCATTAGAAAAAAAAAATCCTTTTTCCCACGAGTGAGCCAAATTCGCCCTCATTTGTGTCTCGCGCACCCCCCTCACTGCAAGGGTTAAATACTCTCTAAGGGGTAAATGAAAAAGCTGTAATACCTTCCAGCAGGCTGGCAGCGCTTTCTTCTCCCAGATGCTCCAGGTTGTGGGTGGGCCCTCACCGCCCTCAGCAGTGACAATTCTGATCGCAACACCCCTTGCAACATCTCTTCCCAGTGCAGTACTGTAGTACAAGCCGTATACATAAAATAAGGAGCAGCAATGTCACCCCATCACAAGAAGCTTCATGGGGCGGGCTTAACTGGAAACCACGAGCCTTTCTAGTGGGAATAAAGCAAACCAGTAAGTGTAGATGTACTCACATTTTTATTTTCTTAATGGGAGGTTGTAGTTCTGCTTTATAAGTCGCTGCTGAAATGATTCAACCTTTGTCATTTGAGTGGCAAGAGAGAGAGCTGCCCCCCAGAATTTCTGCCATTTCCAGTTTTGTAGCTTTGGTTCCCACGATTAGGGGAAATTTAGTTCATGGTCTGCGGCGGGGTTTTTTACGAATATTTAAGTTTTTAGGATTTAAAAAGCACCAAAACGCTTTTCGTCACACAAGAATATGTAAGATAATCAATATTGGTGGCCAAGCTCACCGCCGTCTGAAATTTAGAGGCAGCCTCGGACTATATTT